TTTTTTTTTTTTTTTTTTTTCCGATCGTTGCTTTGTTTATAACTTCACTTGCTTTATCTTTGGGTTTCTCTCACACCGGGGGAGGAAATTGCCCTCAGCCTCCTCCGAGTTATCACTTGTCCCACCGTGAGTTGCAACCTCTTTCCGAGGTCCCCCTCTCCCTTGTTTGGCCGAGATCGAGGGCGGTACACATGCAATTGCCCTCACAACTTTGTATTTGTTGGCATGCTCAACGGTCATGGTCCTCATGACCTGATCTAACTTATGCAAATGTTGTTGGGCCAGAAACTTGGAAGCCTTTGTGGCCTTCCTCCATGAATCGTTTAGCTGGCTCTCGAGCTCAAGCATATTGTTGCACACCCGATGACGGTTGATTGTGACCTCTTCTAGAGCAGGCGTTTGTGGTGCTTCAATGAGAATATTGTAATTGTCAGAGCCTGAGTCATCATTCTCACCTGCATCACTGATCGACTCTGTTCTGTGCAACCGGACACGCCACTCCACCAACCGCATTCGTGCATCCGTTGTCATCTCATCTTGTGTGAATTTTTTCACTGGTTCATCCACTTCCCATTCATAGAATCCTTATCAACCTTCGACTTCTTAACCAAGGTATCCAACAAACACTGGGTCCATCTGTTGAAAACCAGCGTGCTAAGCTTGATGGCACCGAGGTTGTTACAGAGACATCTATGAATTCGTTCAAACAAGCTTCAGTTCCTCTTGCAACAAGAGGAGAAGGACGCTTGTCCAAGCAGATGAACGACTAGCTTATGGAGGATGGGCAAGTCATTGCACCACTTTCTCCACCACCTCGCCAGTTGCATCAGACGGATTTGTGTCCTTGCATCTTCACAATTGTGTCCCCCGGTGCCCTAAATCCAAGAACAAACCTCTGTGTCAACCTCAACATACAAAGATTCTTTGCACCACACGTAAAGCCACGTCCAAAACCCATTCGCAACCTCTGCGTCCATTTCTGGCTGCAACGTTCTGTACTCCGGATCCAAGAACAACACAGCACAATGAGCGGTGATGTCATTGCGTTCCCGCGCCGCATGATGATCTCCTAGAATTTCTCGTCCTCCACTTCGGCAAAGTGCTTGTTCTCCCTTAGTTTCTCCACTACGTTGTCCATACCGGCGTACACCTTACTAATGGTGGGGCTTGTGTTGTCGACCTTCTTCAAAAGTTTGAGCAAGTTCTTTGAAGTCTGCATCACCTTATGCACATCTGCCCAGAAGGTGTCGGCTAAGGTGGAATGTGTCGCCTTCACGAACAGTTCGTGTTGTGAAGTGTGCACGATCACTGGATTTCAGTCATCATCTGTCACATGCACTCAGTTGCAATTACAACCCCTGCAGGCTCGACAACATGATGAAGTTGGTGGCAAATCAGGTCGCACCCAGTTTTGACACGACACTGCCATTGGAGTAGTGGATCAGGAGGTCCCGCGCATGCGAATGGTTCAAAAAGAACTTTGCCACCTCTGATGCCCTTTTCATAATTGCACCGACCTACCCGATTGTCGTGAAAGACTTGAACATCAAGTCGAGGAAGTGTTTTGTGCATGGGACAAAGAAGATGTGAGGGTAATCTGCTTCAATCATTCGCCTAGCAGCTGCGCAAACAGCATCATTGTCCATAATGACCCCCACCACTG